TATATTGGATATACTGGAGTCCTGTTTTAATTAATAGATTACCAAAGCAACTCACTTGCACCTGCATGTGAAGTATAGAGGATAGACTGTCTGTGCTTTTGGATGAGATCATGTTGTTTTTTATCTATATTATGAGGTCCAGACCACGCTCAACTACCATTTTGAAAAGTTATCGCGTCTTGATTTGATAATGTTGTAATTTTGTACTAAGGGAGGGCAGAACAGCATAAGGAGTTTTTTTTTAACGTTGCACAACGTTGCACAGCAATCAATATATTTACCCTTGTGCCCACCTTGAGCTATATTATATATATATATATTTATATATAAATATAATTTATATTATATATATATTTGAGTTATATTCTCTGCATACATTTGTGCTATTATAATTCCCCAGCTTTTACATTAAATAGAGATGGGTAGGTTTTTATTAAAGTTTAGATTTCTGATAAATTCTTATTGCTACAACTTTCTACACTGATTGGAAAAAAATGTGCAGTTGACTTCCCTTTGACAAATATTGGCTTCCCTGAAACCACATTTTTTATATCTTACCTTAAATGAAGTTGTTTTTCAATTCTGTTCCCTGTATTGTTATAGTGGTGCACAAACCACTGTGCATAAAAAAGCCAGAGAATCTTAAAGCCTGTGATTCCCAGGACATTTCTTTGCGCATTCCTCTGAAGGGACTTGGGTTTGGAACTATTTCAGCAACCAGACCAATTTCCATACTTTGGTATGTACTGGTGCTTGAACCATGGACCCTCTGGTTCCCAACCTGAGTCTCTCCAGACCCTAACCTCTGCTGATCAATCAGAGCAAATGAAAAAGGCCTTGGGAATCACAAGCTCACAGTTTTTTTACTTCTCAGCTCGACCAAATCTGAAGGGCTGGGGATCATAACCAAAATTAATGCAGAAAATAAAACTGGAATGACAAAAAATGGTCAAGGAGAGAAAAGGGTTAAAAAAAAAGAAAAGAAAAGATCTATATGGTCTGTTGACCCTTTTGTGGTCATAAGTAATAGTTTCTCTGGTGGCACAAGGGTTAAGGAGAGACTCTACAGCAGAAGTCTATTGTGCTCTCCCTCAAATTTCCCTCTGAGCTTAGAGTTCTACAAGCAACACGTGTGACGGGTATGGAAGGAGAGGAGAATGCTTAGTTTTAGAACAATTGCAAAAATGGTCTGCAAATATACCTTGGCAGCTGTATGCTTTTGCAGACATATTTAACATGTTTAGGCTTATTATAATATTGATTCATAAAGCTGAAATGGTTTATAAATATTGAGCTTCTCATGTGAGTTTTGATCATAGCTCTAGATGACATACAGTTAAGTGATGCTGATAATGATGCTGTCAAGGACAGTGGGAGCGAAACTGATGACAGTGGCACAGAAGGGTCAGAGTGTGGAACCAGGCAGCCTGTGGATGTGGCATCAGAGATTACGTTCGTTGATCAGGTCCATGACTCTGAAGATACAGGTAGGTGACCTCACTTTGTTGAGTTTCAACTGGTTCAAGTTAGTTTTTACAGCAGAAAAATAAACTGTAAAATATTTGTCTTACAGAAACCGTGTCTTTGGTTCCATCCACGGTAGATGAGACTGCCGTTCTTCCTGAAGGTAAGCAAAGTCTAATTGTAAAGCCCATCTTATGTTATAAGTGAGACAGAAATGTAAATCTTTGTATCAGGTGATCTCAGTGTTTTTAATCTTTCTTTTCAAGCATGTAGAAATGCCAAAATCACACAAACAATATGCCCATCCTAAACAGGCTTACAACAAACCATCAAGACCAATAGAGAAACAAAAGTTTGACACATAAATTAAGATTACAGTAATTTATCAACTAAATAAACCATTCTTACGTTACTGAAAGGCTTTTGGGAATATAGTTACCAACTAATAAGCACTCAAAAAAATAATTGTATTTCATTCATTGACCACACAAAACAACTCTATAAAAACTTAAATCTTGAATGAAAAAGAGCAGTAGGAAGAGTACTGAGTCTTTTATAAAATACCACCGCATTGGTTGTTAAAGGATGACAAAAGTTAGTTTGTGTTGCTGATGTTGATGGTGCACTGGCTCTTCTTCCCAGTACTCTCTGTGAACTCGACCCACTGCAGGAGTAAAACAGAGCTTTTATATGTATGTAGGAGGAGCTGCTTTGACATGAAAAAATCTTACTGTTGGTTATTTCTAAAAAGTTGACTGTACCAGTTTAGGACTAAAGGACTAAAATGACACTAAACTAAGAAACTTTTCTCTCGATCTCCTCGTCTTAGAAAGCAAACTCACTCTGAAAACTGTGGAGCTTCTGTTATCAATGTCATTATGAGCATTTTATTCCACTTTTCTTCACTGTTTATTCTTTGTGGATGGAAATGTGATCAAATTCAGTTGTAAGGGGGCCTTCGATCTAAATACTCTGATTTCATTAAAATACAGTGTGTTGCAGCAAGTACAATATGTTGAAGTACTAAATCAGAATAACATAAAATGTGTCTCTGGTTTAATGACCTAATTCCAATAAATATGAAATAGTGTAGCTACTTAAGTTTATCAGCAGCAAAGATGTTATTAAATAATTTGTAAAATTCTATATACCCTAAAATCCGGAATATAAGTCGCATGGTATATAAGACACACCCTGTTTTGAAGGTCTCTTTGAGGGAAACTTTAAACTGTCTTCCTGCGTGAGGATTTATATTGTGTTCAGCGATGTCTACAACGTGCAGTTTCTGTGCAGCTGTGTCGCTCTTTTAGTTCTGTCTGTTTTCTCTTTGTGGAGTCAGCTCTCCTACCAGCTACAGTACGGTAGTTTAGCTCTCAGCCTGCAGGGAAAGTGGTGAGGCTGCGCTGCCTGACTCTGCTGGTCACTCTTTAACTTTAATATAAGACTCTTTCAATCAAAAGAGAACTCCACAAGGTTTATTTACAGAACAATATACCACTGTTTCTGTAAATTCATGATTATGACCTCGGGAGGGAGAAAAGATGTGGAGAAAGTCACTCAGCCAGCCTGGTCAGCCTTTACCAGCACAGCGTGCAGCTTTCAATACACAATGAATGGGGATGTGTTTTTAATCACGTCAGGTCACAGTTAGTGGCTGCTGCCCGGCTGTAATGACGGCGTGTTTCACTATTTTATACTGGTGTATAAGACGCAGCCAACTTTTAAGACAAAAAACAGGTATTAAAAGTGCGTCTTATACACCAGATTTTACGGTACTTGGCGTTTAATGCATTGACTTGAAAATGTTAAATAGGATGTTTTCTTAAATACAGATTAGTTTTTGATTAAGTTTTGATCTTTCTTACTTCCATTCCTTTATTCATGTTGGTAAGATTTATTTTGTCATGTTTTTAAGGAGACGATGGTGTCGCAGAGAGTGGCTCAAGAGGAAAGCCTGGTCCAAGGCCGAAGTGGCTGCAGTAATGCGACATTTCAAAAAACATGTATGCAATGGGAGCTTGGCCACCAAAAGGGAATGCAGTCACTGCAAGGTGCTAGAAGAGCCTGTGTTAGCAGAAAGAACGGTGCAAAATATACTCAGAAACAGAGGAAAAGCAGCGAAGAGACGGTCACAGAAAGGCAAGCTGTGAACAAACTAGATCCCATCAGTGGTTGTGAGCTATGTGCTAGTGCAGTGGTCATGATTTGTTTTGTTCTGAGTTGTTATATTATTTGTTGTGTTTTTTTGTTGTTGTGTTCTGTGTTCCATGTTTTTCAATGGTTTGTGATTTTTTTCTTGTTACTTCAGGGCCACATTTAGTTTCACATTTGCAATTTGTTATCATAGAATCACATCTCCCTGGAAAAGTTAGTAAAACAATGTTGTCTTTGTGACGGGCTGTTTGTCTGTTAAAGTCCCCACGTCACTGTGAGTTACACACAGCTGTGTTCTTTAAAGATTGGTGGATAAATAAAGCCAAGGGAACAAAAACTATCTGTTCAAGTGTCAAGGCTTTATTTAGTCAATGAACGATTGTTGACATCACTTGGGCTCCATACACTACATTTAAGAGTTGTGTTTGATATATGTTTTTATAATTTAGGATCATTATAATGCTGATGTTTTATATCACAACAATTGTCTCACATCTGTCCAAGAAAGGATAATCTTGAATACAAAAGCATATTTACTTAATTTTCAGAATCATTGGACTCCTGTGACAGGCAGAGTGCCTGTCTTAACTCCTGTTGTGTTATAGGAAGTTGTACAACTAAGAACTTATTTATGTTAATGATAAACTAAATGTCCAATGAATGCAGCATTCTGTCAGGTTTGTGTATGTATGCTAATGAGGTGGTATTTAAATGTGACATCTTTCAGCTGCAGGCGAAGCAGCTTTTATGGACGGGACATTTCAATCAGCTGCTCGTTCCTTTGCCTTCCAAGTGTGAAAATCTGTGAAGATGTTTAGAGTAGCAAACACAAACGCTCTTTTCATGATGCAATTTAGTTACAGTCTGCGTCTTCACATTGCCTCGTGGCGTTTTGGGAGCGCGAGAGAGCACGGCACAGCGGGAGCTCCACACACACACACACACACACACACACACACACACAGCGCCACATGGTAGCGGCTGCATGTGGGTATTGATGGCGCGTGTCTCAGCAGATTTGTCACACTGGTTTGTGAACACAGCCGACTGCAGGTGAAAAAAGGGTTTTAAAAGTGCGTCTTGTTCACAGGAGTTTACTCCCCGGTCACTCTTACCCACTCACACACTGATGACAGACGAGTTGATGTGAAGTGTCCGTCAGTATTAACTCACCTGTTCATACACATTCACTCACTGACGTTAGAGCCACCAGAGTCCAGTGTCTTCACCAAAGACCCTTCAACATGTGACGAGCTGTGATCAAACTGCCAACACACTGATTGACTGATCCACTGAGCCTCACATTGTCATTTATTATATTCATCTTTTAACTGAAAAAATACAAACAAACAGAGACTTAAAGAAAAACAAGTGTGAGGAACTCGTGGGAAAACCAGTGTTTAATCTCTTAAACCGGATACATCAAGTGAAGAGTTTGAGAAAATAAGGAGATATGATTCGTCCACTTATTGCTTCCATAAGAGAAACAATCTAACGGGTCATTACTAGTATACTACCTGATTATTAACACCTGAAGAAAACGTCCACACATGGTTTCTGAAGGTTTACTGTGGTTGGAAAAGTTTCTCTCAGTACAAATATATAAATGTAACAATCACACATGAGCTTTAAACCCTCCAATCCCCTGATTATATCTGATAGAACAGCAGAATGATTGATCCTGTAAAATATTGATTGATCAAGTAAAGCATCACACTAGAATGAAGCACAGTCCACATCCAGAGACCAGACTAAACCTGACCCAGGAACAGTCCAGGATCAGGGTTCACACCAGCCCAGCATCAGACAATCGTGTTTAGTCGGTACGGCAGGTGGAAAGCACAGGAAGCTGCTTGTTCCTCCATCTGATGCTGGACCACCAGGACCCGGATCAGTTACTGGGCACCAGAATCCTTCCTGCATTAAAGAGAAGAAAAGACGAGATCAACGACTGATCCAGAAACACCGTCTGAACTGGTTTAGACTGGTCTGAACTGGTTTAGACTGGTCTGAACTGGTCTGAACTGGTCTGAACTGGTTTAGACTGGTCTGAACTGGTTTAGACTGGTCTGAACTGGTTTAGACTGATCTGAACTGATCTGAACTGGTTTAGACTGGTCTGAACTGGTTTAGACTGGTTTAGACTGGTCTGAACTGAATTAGACTGGTCTGAACTGGTCTGAACTGGTTTAGACTGATCTGAACTGGTTTAGACTGGTCTGAACTGGTCTGAACTGGTTTAGACTGATCTGAACTGGTTTAGACTGGTCTGAACTGAATTAGACTGCTCTGAACTGGTCTGAACTGGTTTAGACTGATCTGAACTGGTTTAGACTGGTCTGAACTGGTCTGAACTGGTTTAGACTGATCTGAACTGGTTTAGACTGGTCTGAACTGGTCTGAACTGGTTTAGACTGATCTGAACTGGTTTAGACTGATCTGAACTGGTTTAGACTGGTCTGAACTGGCCTGAACTGGTTTAGACTGGTCTGAACTGGTTTAGACTGGTCTGAACTGGTTTAGACTGGTTTAGACTGGTCTGAACTGGTTTAGACTGGTCTGAACTGGTCTGAACTGGTTTAGACTGGTCTGAACTGGTTTAGACTGGTCTGAACTGGTTTAGACTGGTTTAGACTGGTCTGAACTGGTTTAGACTGGTCTGAACTGGTCTGAACTGGTTTAGACTGGTCTGAACTGGTCTGAACTGGTTTAGACTGGTCTGAACTGGTTTAGACTGGTCTGAACTGAATTAGACTGGTCTGAACTGGTTTAGACTGATCTGAACTGGTTTAGACTGGTCTGAACTGGTTTAGACTGGTCTGAACTGGTCTGAACTGGTTTAGACTGGTCTGAACTGGTTTAGACTGGTTTGAACTGGTTTAGACTGGTCTGAACTGGTCTGAACTGGTCTGAACTGGCCTGAACTGGTCTGAACTGGTCTACCTCGGGTCTTGCTCTTGTAGTAGATGAATCCAGCCAGAGATAAGATCAGACCCAGGATCAGTCCAGACGCTCCGATGGCGATCTTGTTTCTCTCCGACTCTGGCATGGACGGGTCTGAGGAAGACAGACAGACAGGTGAGCAGACAGACAGGTGAGCAGACATACAGACAGACAGGTGAGCAGACAGACAGACGAAAAGGTGAACAGACAGACAGGTGAGCAGACAGACAGGTGACAAGGTGAACAGACAGACAGGTGAGCAGACAGACAGGTGAGCAGACAGACAGGTGAAACGGTGAGCAGACAGACAGGTGAGCAGACAGACAGGTGAAAAGGTGAGCAGACAGACAGGTGTAACGGTGAGCAGACAGACAGGTGAAAAGGTGAGCAGACAGACAGGTAAAAAGATGAGCAGACAGACAGGTGAGCAGACAGACAGGTGAGCAGACAGACAGGTGACAAGGTGAACAGACAGGTGAGCAGACAGACAGGTGAGCAGACAGACAGGTGAAAAGGTGAGCAGACAGACAGGTGAAAGGTGAGCAGACAGACAGGTGAAACGGTGAGCAGACAGACAGGTGAGTAGACAGACAGGTGAAAAGGTGAACAGACAGGTGAAAAGGTGAACAGACAGGTGAAAAGGTGAGCAGACAGACAGGTGAGCAGACAGACAGGTGAGCAGACAGACAGGTATTTACCCCAGACATTAACCAGAGGTTTATCCAGGCTGACGTGATCCACCACACAGGAGATCTTCTCTCCAGACCTGAAAAACCACAGAAACAGAGGATCAGTCACACTCAACACCTGGACCTGGACCTGGACCTGGACCTGGACCTGGACCTGGACCTGGACCTGGACCTGGACCTGGACCTGGACCTAAACCTGGACCTGGACCTGGACCTGGACCTGGACCTAGACCTAGACCTGGACCTGGACCTGGACCTAGACCTGGACCTGGACCTGGACCTAGACCTGGACCTAAACCTGGACCTGTAGCTGGACCCACCTGGGCGTGTACTCCAGGTGTGAGTGGATCTGGTAGTACCAGTCTCCGTCAGCCAGCTCATCAGTGGAAGTGACATCAGTGGTGACTTCCTTTCCGTCTCTGTGCCAGCTCACTTTGATCATTTTGGGGTAGAAGTCGTAGACGCTGCACACCAACATGGCGGGGTGTCCACCAGTAGGGGGCGTCTCAGAGTGCAGCTTGGCGTACGGCTTGGCTGCAGCACACACAGTTTGATTATTGAATTTATTGTTTCAGTAGACGGACAGAGTATCAGTGCTCTTTTTCTGCTTTCAGTGTGAACATCATCAAGTACGAAGAGTTTGAATCAGTGAAACACAGTTTGATGAGTTATATTCATTTAGTTTCACTGAAGGCTTTGAATCCTCTCAGATGACAGAAATAGAGATGTTAATGATTAACGTTTATCGATTAATCGCCGTTAAGAATTGAACCGATTAAAAATGTATCAACTGACAATTTGACATGTAATACCATTTTGTACCAAAAGAGGGCGCCTGTCACTTTGTGCAACTCAGAAAAGCTAAAGTAAGAAGTGTTACTGAGGAGAGTGAGGCTAAAATGAAGAGGTCAGCAGAGAGACAGAGTTCTGTGTTTTCTGCAGCTGGACTTGTTGAGAATAGACTGAACACTCGACTGAGCCCTGATCACGTAGATGTGCTCATCTTTCTAAATAAAAACACTGAGCCGTACATATATGATGGTGAGTAGAGTATTTTATGTGCTCACAACAACTCACTCCTGAACGTGTAGAAATGTTCATCTGCAGACAAAGCAGAAGAGTTAAGTGTACTGTGAAGAGGCTCAGATGGTTTGATTTCACTTTCATTCAGAACTTTCTGTTGATTTTAAAAAGGAGTTTCATTCAGTCAGCCTTGTTAGAAACGCTGGTGTAGCGCCCGACTGGCGTTGATCTGTTAGCAGATTAAATAAGGAAAGTCACACGTTTAAAAGAGCGAGAGCCTCGTTGTTTTATTAGTTCAAACTGTTTTTATGAATGAATGTTTCAAGTAACTATCGTGCTGCTATAACGGTTTCAAATAAACATTAATCATTATGATGGGCCACGCAGGCTTAGGACAGTCAAACAATGGACTTGGGCCTGCACCTCTGTTTGAAGTCTCATTTGAGTTATTCACTGAGATCACAAAGAGGCCTAAAAGGACTCTTAATCCCAGAATCCCTTGCGGTACTTCACACCTACGCGATTTCTAGTGCTCGGAGACCCAAGCTCACCTCCTGTTTCTGCAACAATCTTCTTTTGTTTTAAGTTTTGGCGCGCAGGTAATCCGCGGCCGGCAGTGTTCTAAATTCCGAGCTCGGATTGTCCAGTGAACGCATCTCAGTTTCTCGGAGAGCGTCAGACTATAACAGGTTATCAGAAAGATAACGGTCTTATTCCGTCCTGCAACGAAAGGACATCAAAGGACATCTTTCCACTCGACAGAGAACATAACGAAGCCGCTCTCGCCGTAAGGGACCCTCGCCGCCATCAGACGCCTCTGCACCAGGACGGACAGAAGATCTGCTCCATCGCCGGACTCTTTTCCTTTCACCAATCGCGGACAAAGCGATTCACAAGTGAGGCTTAATTAGGTCTGGGCAGAATTAGCTTTAGAGAGTGTTTTTAACTGAAGTGTCTGATGTAACCAGGACAGAGGTAATATAAGTTTACAATGGGCGCATCAGGAGTATCTGAAGGAGATTTAGGAGCCCTCTCAGTGGAATGTATACAATGGGGCCCCTGTATCCAGAGAGTTGCCCAGGGACTTCTGGACAAGAGATTGTATCTGTGACCTGTGTTGTCCTTTGAGTTTATGACATACATATGACTAAGACAGAAACCCCTGCAGTTGTATGAAGAGGGGTGTCCTGAAAACAAACAGATGTCCCTATGTTGTTCTCCTGTGAGGTGTGTCCATAAATACCAGAGTTTCTGTGTGTAAGGGGGAGAGATCACTTTTGGCTGTGTCTCTCCCAGGTCGAACCATGGCGAGCCTGGCGATGCTGTAACTTGTTTGTCAATAAAATGATCATTATGTAAGCAAGTCAGTGTCAACGGGGAATTTCTTCATCATCAAACATGTCAACAACAAAGGAAATCCACATCATAACAATTGTTGATCAAAGCAGAAACTGTAATTTTTATCTTTGTTGGACCTGCGTCCTGAGTTTTAACTGTTTAAAACTCTTGTTGTTTCGGACCGCTGCGTCCTATATGTGTTTAGCGTAACAGCGTTATAACCGGGTATTACTCTTCTGATCAGAAAGGCCAGTGTAAGCCGTATTAACCTGAATTCGGCTATTGGTTTGTTTCTGTGAATGAAGGGAATTACTCCGAGTTGTGGCGCGGGAGTCGGACTGTGATCCGGCCTCTTCAGGCACGCATTTCTCTTTTATTCTCTTTTATTTCCCCTTCTACGAACACACACACACACACACACACATTCCTGTGTAAACGTACATCTGGAGACCAACTCCACCACCGCGCCATTACGCACAGAGATCTATACACTCGCGGCTATCCAGACGCCTCAGAGACACAGATTGTGTAGGGCCGAACTCAGTCTCTTTTAGACCTTAAGGCCACATTTAGGCTTTTGTTAGGTGTGTGCCATCGGAAGGGCGACCACGTGGGTACGAAGTAATCTTCCCCCCCCTTCTCTCTCCCTTTCATCCACACGCGCACGCACCCAGGTCTTTGTTAGGTTTGCGCCATCGTGAACGACCACGAGGGTACGAAGCCATCTCCCCCCCCTTTCTTCTTCTCTCTTTTTTCTCTCTCTCTCTCTCTCTCTCACACACACACACACACACGCACACACACACACACACACACACACACACATTTACACCATCCACAAGCCTTTGCTTGATAATGTTTGTTGCTTAGATTAGTTTATAATAGTTATTTGTTTGATTAAGTTCATTGATTTTGGATTGATGTTGCTTTGTTTAAATAAATTCTGTTATAATTTAAGAGAGCAGTTGTTTGTGGTTACTGGTGTATTTACATTGTGATATGAGCTGGGTGCGAAGGCTTTGTGTACGGATTTCACGCCTTCAATTTATTAAATATATTTATTCATTATTAATAATATTAGTAATTAAATAACTAATTTGAGACTGATTTGAGTGATATTTTGGTTATATTTACCTGATTACAGGTTGGTGCCCCAAAACGAGATTAACATAGTTTAATGATATTTTATTTATATTATTAATAATTAAGTATAATTATTAAAGAATATAACCAAAGTTGACTTGATACAACCCCAA